GTGGGGGTTACACCTTCTACGCGGATTCGGTGCAGGGCCGGTTCACGATCTCCAGGGACAACGGGCAGAACTCCATGTCCCTGACCATGACCAACCTCAAGGACGAGGATTCTGGATCCTATTTCTGCGCCAGATCTACTCCTGGTTACTATAACTATGGTTCTGGTTATACTGACAGTGAAGGTCACCCCATCTCCAACCAGCATTAGGAGCAGCACCATTACCATCAGCATCCTTGGCACAGACATAGGATCCGGAATCCTCGTTCTTGAGGTTTTTCATGGTCAGCGTCACCGAGCTCTGCCTGTTGTCCCTGGAGATCGTGAACCGACCCTGCACCGACGGCGCGTAGGAGGTGGCACCATTGCTCCAGATCGTTGCAATCCACTCCAGCCCTGCCCGGGTCTCTGGCGCATCCAGCCCATCCCAAAATTGGCCAAAATCGAACCCGGACCCTCGGCAGAGGAGGCGCAGGGACCCCCCGGGGGCCTGGAGGTCCCCCCCGCACACCAGCAGGGTCACGGCTGCACCCCCATGCCCAAACCTTCACCGGTTTTGCCCCAAATTCCCTTTGTTTGTCACCAAACATCCAACAGAGGTATCCTGAATGGTAAAGTGCCTTAAACCCTGCAATTAGCCCCAATCCACCCATTAATTACTTGGACACCTCTGCCTGACTTTTGCATCGCCTCATCCCCATCTCCCCTTTGTCCCGCAGGGCTCCGGGTGGCCGTGACCCTGCTGGAGTTCGGGGGGGACCTCCAGCCCCCCGGAGGGTCCCTGACGTTTTTGTGCCGAGGGTGCGGGTTCCATTTTGGCAATTTTGGGATGCCCTGGATCCGCCATAGACCCGGGCAGGGGCTGCAGTGGGTCGGAACCATCACCAGCAGTGGTGGCGTCACCTGGTACGCGGATTCCGTCAAGGGCCGGTTCAGGATCTCCAGGGACAACGGGCTGAGCTCGGTGACGCTGACCATGAACAACCTCAAGGACGAGGATTCCAGATCCTATTTCTGCGCCAAGGACACTGATTGTCACGGTGCTTATGCTGATGCTGTTTGGGGAGGATGGAACAGGAAAGACTTATCAATGTGATTGCCTGGCAAAAGATTTTGAGAATATGGAAACCATCAGCAAGGTGGAAATGAAAGCAAGCTTTGAGATCCCCCTGTTACTGAACAACAGGAAAACAATGGCGTGGCCGGCTGTAGGTGATCCCTTTTGATGGAACAACACCCTCTACTTGCAGACAGCTCCAAGGGTCACAGCAGACCCTACAGCTCGGCAGAAGGGCCCAAAGTGTAGTTTTTAGGGTTTAAAGTAACCCTAAAGAGGAGTTTTTAGGGTTTAAAATGTACTAGAGTATGGTAATGAAACGATTCTTATAGGCTGTATGTAAATGCTGTGGGGTTTGTATATTGGACCAGATTGCTTAGTGAGAATGAGAATATTCAACAGAGAAGAACATTTATTGTATATTGGTGGGAACCTCACTCTCTTACCCTTTTATTCTCTTACACTTTTATGTTCTTACCCTTTTACACTCTTACCATTTTATTCACTGACTCTTTCACTCCCTTACCCTTTTAATTCTCTCACCCTTTTACTCATTTACCTTTTTTACTCTCTCACTCTCTTCCCGTCTCATCCTCTCTCCCCTCTCTTCTCTCAGCCCTGCTCCAGCTGTGCCTGGCAGCTCCCAGCAGGGCCCTGCAGTTCGTCCTTCGCAATAAACCCCAAATGCCACAACCTGGCTGCAGAGATCTCTCGTGTCCGTCCGTCTGTCCCGACCGTCCTGCGCCCTGATGGTCCAACAGTGCTGGTCGGGGGTGGGGCCATACCGGGCACGTCAATAGCACCAGCACCATAAGTACCACCAGTATAAGCAAATTTCCCACAGAAATAGGATCCGGAATCCTCGTCCTTGAGGTTGTTCATGATCAGCGTCACCGAGCTCTGCCCGTTGTCCCTGGAGATCCTGAACCAACCCTTGACCGATGGCGCGTAGTAGATGTAACGTCCTTTGATGTTGATACTCGCGAGCCACTCCAGCCCCTGCCCGGGTCTCTGGCGGACCCAATACATTTCAAAATACCCGAAATCGAACCCGGACCCTCGGCAGAGGAGGCGCAGGAACCCCCCGGGGGGCTGGAGGTCCCCCCCCAACTCCAGCAGGGTCACGGCCGCCCGGAGCCCTGCGGGACAAAGGGGAGATGAAGATGATGGGATGGATTGTCTGTGGACCCAAAGTGGGCACCGCCATGCAGGAAAAAGAGTGTGCGATCCACCTGGGAGGGCCAGCAGGTGCCGCAGGAGGAGTATGGTGAACTCCAAGGGTCCCAGTTTGTGGCCAAGAGTCAGGATTTGGGTCAAGGGTTGAGCTTTGGCCTCATCCCCATCTCCCCTTTGTCCCGCAGGGCTCCAGGAGGCCGTGACCCTGCTGGAGTGCGGGGGGTACCTCCAGCCCCCCGGGGGGTCCCTGCGCCGCCTCTGCCGAGCGTCCGGGTTCAGTTTCGGGGCTCACTCCATCACCTGGACCCGCCAGAGGCCCGGGCAGGTGCTGGAATGGCTGGCGCTGATCGACGCTAGCGGTGCCCACGCCTGGTACGCTCCATCGGTGCAGGGCCAGTTCAGGATCTCCAGGGACAATGGGCAGAGCTCAGTGACGCTGACCATGAACAACCTCAAGGACGACGATTCCGGATCCTATTTCTGTGCCAAACGTCACAATGGTTATGCTGGTGGTGATGCTGCTGCTCTTTTTGCTGTCATTTCTAGTGGTGACCCTGATGGTCACCAAATTTCTCCAATCACAGAGATCCTTCCCCTATATCCCAGCTTTTAGACTCAAATCCTCCCCATTTTTCCCTAAACTCCACCCCAGCTTCCACAACTCATGATTTTCCCCCCAGTTTTGCCCATTTCCCCCAAATCTCGCACTTCCCCTCACCCTGGGGCTGTTTGTCCAGAACCATCCCCCACACCTCGGCCTTTCACCCCAGATTTCTGGTCCATTCCCTTGTGACCGGGGGCCTGAAAATCCCTCTGGAGCAGCCACAAATCTGCACCCCTGGCCCAAAACCCACGCTGCGGGCACCGAAACGGGAGGGTTTGGCACAACAATTGGCACCAAGGGTGAAGGGGTGGGGCCGAGAGTTGGGAGTTTGGGGGAGAATGGGGGAGATTTGGGGCAGAGCCAGTTCAGGGCTGGGACACGGGGACAGGAATTGGGTATGGGGCAGGGGACTGGGGGAAGGGCCTGGGGAATGGGGACAAGGGAGGGGAACCTGGGGGCATGGACAGGGCCACACGATAAGCAGCAGCCTGATTTTGGTAACCACTATCAGCACCCTTGGCACAGAAATAGGATCCGGAATCCTCGTCCTTGAGGCTGTTCATGGTCAGCGTCACCGAGCTCTGCCCGTTGTCCCTGGAGGTCGTGAACCGGCCCTTGACGATGGCGCGTAGATGGTGTTGGAACCACTGCTGCTGATCCCTGCGAGCCACTCCAGCCCCTGCCCGGGTCTCTGACGCACCCAGTACATGGTGAAACTGCTGAAACTGAACCCGGACCCTCGGCAGAGGAGGCGCAGGGACCCCCTGGGGGGCTGGAGGTCCCCCCCGCACTCCAGCAGGGTCACGGCCACCCGGAGCCTTGCGGGACAAAGGGGAGATGGGGATGGGACCAAAGCTCAACCCTTTACCCAAGTCCTGACTCTGGGACCCAAACTGAGACCCTTGGAGTTCATCATCCTCCTCCCAGGTGGGTCCTGCCCCTTTTTCCACCTGGCTAAGCCCACTCTTAGGCCCTGAACGAATCAGGTTTCTCATCCCCATCTCCCCTTTGTCCCGCAGGGCTCCGGGCGGCCGTGACCCTGCTGGAGTGCGGGGGGGACCTCCAGCCCCCCGGGGTGTCCCTCCGCCTCCTCTGCTGAGGGTCTGGGTAAAGTTTTGGCGATTATGGAATGTTCTGGACCTGCCAGAGACCCCGGCAGGGGCTGGAACTCGTCGCAGGGATCTGGAGCAGTGGTTCCAACACCGGCTACGCGCCATCGGTCAAGGGCCGGCTCACGATCTCCAGGGACAATGGGAGGAGCTCGGTGAGGCTGACCATGAACAACCTCAAGGACGAGGATTCCGGATCCTATTTCTGCGCCAAATGTGCCGGCAGTAGTTGTGATTATGATGCTGTTGCTTTTGGTGATCATGGTGTTGGTGGCTGTGGTCCCAGGCCTTCTCCTCTCTGTGCCCAAGTACCACAGAATTCTCTGATCCCTCCCCAAATCCCAGCCCTTTCCCCCAAATCTCCGTCATTTTCACCTAACTTCTGCCATTGCTGCCCCAACTCTGCACTTCCCCTCAGTTTTTATCGTTTTTCCCTAATCTTAGAATTCTCCTCCTCACCCTTGGACAGTTTGCCCAGAACCATGCCCCCGTCAAACACCAAGCACAGAGCCAAAACCCCCAAACTGGTTCTGTCCCAAACCCACCTGCTTTGGCCCCAAAACTCGCCTGATTCTGCCCCAAATCCCCACTTTGGGCTCCCAGCCGCAGCCCTGACCCAAACCTCACCCGCTGTCCCCAAATCTAAGCCCTTTGGGCACTTTTGGGGCACGAGGTGGAGATTTGGGGCCGAGAGTTGAGTTTGGGGCCAGACCCAGGGCAGGGTTTGAGGCCAATGAGCAGCCTTGGGGCAAAGGGGGCGGGACTGGGGCAAAAGGTCAGGGGTGGGACAGGGGGGTTTGGGGAAGGGTCTGGGGACAGCTGGGGACGGGGACGGGGCTGAAACCCCAAACACCAACCCAACAACCGGGAGTGAAACCAATGCCATGGGCGGCATTCCAGCCACCATAAGAATCCTTGGTACGGAAATAGGATGCGGAATCCTCATCCTTGAGGTTGTTCATGGTCAGTGTCACCGAGCTCTGCCCGTTGTCCCTGGAGATCATGAAGCGGCCCTGCACCGAATCCGCGTAGTAGGTGTAACCCCCACTGCTATACTAGATGCTGGCGATGAATTCCAGCCCCTTCCCGGGTCTCTGCCGGATCCAGAACAGGTCAAATTTGTCAAAATCAAACCTAGACCGCAGGCAGAGGAGGATCAGGGACCCCCTGGGGGGCTGGAGGTCCCTCCCGCACTCCAGCAGGGTCACGGGCGCCCGGAGCCCTGCGGGACAAAGGGGAGATGGGGATGGGAAACCTGATTGGTCGAGGGCCTCAAAGCAGGTGTGGCAACCTGGAGAAAGGGACTGGACCCTCCTGGGAGGAGGATGATGAACTCTAAGAGACCCAATTTGGGGCAAAGAGCCAGGATTTGGATCAACGGTTGAGCTTTTCCATCCCCTTTGTCCCACAGGGCTCCGGCCGGCCGTGACCCTGCTGGAGTGCGGGGGGGACCTCCAGCCCCCCGGGGGGTCACTGCACCTCCTCTGCCAAGGGTCCGGGTTCAGTTTTGGCAGTTTTGGGATGGGCTGGTACCGGCAGAGACGCGGGCAGGGGCTGGAGTTCGTAGCACAGATCAGCACTGATGGCACCACCCACTATGGAGATTCTGTCAATGGCCGGGTCACGATCTCCAGGGACAACGGGCAGAGCTCGGTGATGCTGACCATGAACAACCTCAAGGACAAGGATTCCGCCATCTATTTCTGTGCCAAGGATTCCTATGGTGGCTGGAATGCTGCCCATGCCATTGGTTTCACTCCCGGTGGTTGGGTTGCTGTTTGGGGTCCTGGCACCGTCCCTCTCCCCAGCTGTCCCCAGACCCTTCCCCAAACCCCCCTGACCCACCCCTGACCCTTTGTCCCAGCCCCGCCTCCTTTGCCCCAACGCTGCACATTTGCCCCAAACCCTGCCCTGGGTCTGGCCCCAAACTCAACTCTCGGCCCTAGATCTCCCCCTTGTGCCCCAAAATTGCCCCAAAGAGCCGAGATTTGCGGGCAGCGGGTGAGGTTTGGGCCACCGGCTGCGGCTGGGAGCCCAGAGTAGGGATTTGGGGCAGAATTGGGCGAGTTTTGGGGCCAAAGAAGGAGGGTTTGGGGCAGAACCAGTTTGGGGGTTTGGGGTCTTTGGCCACCATTGGAGGAAATGGTGGAGACCTGGGCCAAGGGGTTAGAATGAGGTCAAGGGTTGAGATTTGGGTAAAGGTTCTGAGTTTTGGGGAAAAGAGGGGCTCAGGCAAGGGCGCTGCCACCACCGGCACGGTCCATGTAAGCAGCAGCAGCAGCCCAAGCAGCACCAGCAGCTTTTGCACAGAAATAGGATCCGGAATCCTCGTCCTTGAGGTTGTTCATGGTCAGCGTCACCGAGCTCTGCCCGTTGTCTCTGGAGATCCTAAACCGGCCCTTGACCGATGGGGCGTACCAGGTGCCGGAACCATCGCTCCTGATGTAAGCGACGAATTCCAGCCCCTGCCCGGGTCTCTGGCTGATCCAGAACATGGCAAAACTGCTGAAACTGACCCCGACCCCTAGGCAGAGGAGGCGCAGGCAGCCCCCGGGGGCCTGGAGGTCCCCCCCGCACTCCAGCAGGGTCACGGCCGGCCGGAGCCCTCCGGGACAAAGGGGAGATGGGGATGAGGCCAAAGTTCAACCCTTGACCCCAAAGTCCCAACTATTGCCCCAGGTTGTGACAATTTGTCCTTCTCCTCCTGCTCCTGATCCCCCTCCCAGCTGGGTCTTATCCCTTTTTCCAGCTGGCCACACCCACTTAGGGCCCACAGCCAATCAGGTTTCTCATCCCCATCTCCCCTTTGTCCTGCAGGGCTCCGGGCGGCCGTGACCCTGCTGGAGTGCGGGGGGGACCTCCAGCCACCCGGGGGATCCCTGCGCCTCCTCTGCTGAGGGTCCGGGTTCAGTTTTGGCAGTTTCCAAATGGATTGGGTTCGACAGAGACCTGGACAGGGGTTGGAGTGGGTTGGAAGCATCAACAGTGGCTGCAGCACCGACTGCGCACCATCAGTCAAGGGCCGGTTCACGATCTCCAGGGACAAGTGGCAGAGCTCGGTCACACTGACCATGAACAACCACAAGGACGACGATTCAGCCGTTTATTTCTGGGTCAAACTTTGCAATGCTTATGCTGGCAATGCTATTGATGCTGGAATCAATCCAGATAGTGACTATGATGGTCAAAATATTTTCCCAATCCCAGAGATCCTTCCCAAAAATCCTGGCTCTTTTTCTCACATCTCAGATATTTTCCCCCAAACTGCACTGTCACTTCCCCAGTTCCCAATTTCCCCCAATTTTCCCCATTTCTCCCCAGTCTGTCCCTTCCCCTCCATCCCAGTGTGGAATGGGGATCACTCCAGGGCCCTTTGCACACAAAGCTTTTTGTGCAGCCGACGCTCTGCCGCAGCGCCCCGAGGCTGAGCTGCCCTCTGCCAAACACAGATGTTCACAATGACCAAACCAGGAACTTTCTGTTTCCTTTCCTGCCCCGGCCGGGCCCCAGCAGCTGCCGGGGAGGAAGTGGGGGGAGGCTGCGGAGCCCCAAAATCGCGGCGTCTTCTCCTCCCTCCCTCCCTCCCTTTGTCCCACCTGGGGCTTCACTGCTCCCTCAGCAGCCTCGGTGTCTGGTGCTGCACCTTGGGGCTGCGCTGGAATCCTATCTCTGGGACCTCTGAAGAAAAAACTCTTTTCTTTTTCCCAAAAACACATGAAATATTGTGGAGATGAAACTGTTGAAATTGATCCCGAGCCAAGGGCTCCATGCTGAGAGAAGCAGATGGGTGCAAGGGTGGAGTCACCTGAAACGTTCCATTGGTCAAGGGCCGGGTCAGCACGGCCAGGGACAGCCGGCTGAGCTCGGTGACGCTGGCTATGTGTGACCACAGGGGAAAGGTCTGGGGAAAGCTGAGGACACAGCGATGGGGACAGGGCCAAAAGCAGTGGCAATATCAGCATTGCCACCAGAAATACGCTTGGCACAGAAATGCGATCCGGAATCCTCGTCCTTGAGGTTGTTCACGGTCAGCGTCACCGAGCTCCGCCCGTTGTCCCTGGAGATCCTGAACCGACCCTTGACCGAATCTGAGTAGCCAATGCCACCACCGTTGCTCTTGATCCCCGCGATGTATTCCAGCCCCTGCCCTGGTCTCTGGCAGATCCAGAATATGGAGAAACTCCTTAAACTGAATCCAGACCCTCGGCAGAGGAGGCGCAGGGACCCCCCGGGGGGCTGGAGGTCCCCCCCGCACTCCAGCAGGGTCACGGCCGCTCCCCCATCCCCAAACCTTCACTGGTTTTGCCCCAGAATCCTTTTTTCTTGCCTCAAATTTCCAGCAGAGGTTTCCTGTATTGAAAAGTTCCTTAAACCCTGCAATTAGCCCCAATCCACCCATTAATTAATTGGACACCTCTGCCTGACTTTTGCATCCCTTCATCCCCATCTCCCCTCTGTCCCGCAGGGTTCCGGGCGGCCGTGACCCTGCTGGAGTGCGGGGGGCACCTCCAGCCCCCCGGGGGGTCCCTGCGCCTCCTCTGCCGAGGGTCCGGCTTCAGTTTTGGGAGTTTTTCCATGCAATGGGCCCGACAGAGACCCGGGCAGGGGCTGGAGTGGGTCGCGGGGATCAGGAACGATGGTGCTTACACCAGCTATGGACCATCAGTCAGGGGCTGGGTGAGGATCTCCAGGGACAATGGGCACAGCATGCTGCTGCATATGCTGAAGACACCAGTTGTGGATCCACCCCCGTCCCCCCATGTCCCCCCCGTTTCGGGTCCCCAGACCGTTCCCCCAAACCTCCCCCATTGACCCTTGGTCCCAAATCTCCCCCATTTGCCCCAATGGTCGGCACTGACCCCAAACCCTCCCCTGCTCCTGCTCCAGAGCTCAACCATTGGACCCGAACCTTCACCCCTGGGCTCCAGTTCAGGCCTCCTCCAATCAGGGCCTGGGAACTGGGGGAGATTTGGGTGAAATGGGCAAAACTGAGGGAAAGTTGAGAGTTTGGGCAACAGGGGCTGAGTTTGGGGGAAAAGGGCTGAGATTTCAGGAGATGGGCTGGGACTTTGGGGAAGGTTTAGATAATTTTGTGATACTTGGGAACACAGAAGAAAGGGCTTGGGAGGACAACCACCATCAACACCATGAGCATAAGCGCCATTACCACAGCCACTGCTGTAACCACTCCAGCGCCTGCCCGGAGCTCTGGCGAACCCAGACATGGAGAAACTTCCAAAATCGAACCCGGCCCCTCGGCAGAGGAGGCGCAGGGACCCCCCGGGGGGCTGGAGGTCCCCCCCTGAACTCCAGCAGGGTCACGGCCGCCCGGAGCCCTGCGGGACAAAGGGGAGATGGGGATGAGGACAAAGCTCAACCCTTGACCCAAATCCTGACTCCTGGCCCCAAATTTTGACACTTCTGCCACCATATCCTCATCCTGGCTGCCGTCTCACGTGGGTCCTGCCCCTTTTTTCTGCAAGCCATGCCCATTTTCTCATTCTGGACCAATCCGATTTGTCATTTCCATCATCTCCCCTTTGTCCCGCAGGGCTCCGGGCGGCCATGACCCTGCTGGACAGCAGGGGGGACCTCAAGCCCCCCGGGGGGTCCCTTCGCCTCCTCTGCCGAGGGTCTGGGTTCAGTTTCTGGAGCTACGACACGTACTGGGTGCGCCAGAGACCTGGGCAGGGGCTGGAGTGGCTCGCAAGCATCTACAGCAATGGTGGCACAACTTACTACGCGCCATCGGTCAAGGGCCGGTTCAGGATCTCCAGGTACAACGGGCCGAGCTCAGTGATGCTGACCATGACCAACCTCAAGGACGAGGATTCCACTGTTTATTTATGTGCCAAACGTGACAATGGTTATGCTGCTGTCAATGCCGCTGCTCTTTTTTCTTCACTTCTGGTAGCGACCATGATGGTCACCAAATTTCTCCAATCCCAGAGATCCTTCCCCCAAATCTCGCCCTTCCCCTCACCCTGGGGTCGTTTATCCAGAATCATCCCCCAAATCTCAGCCTTTCACCCCAGATTTCCGCTCCCTTCCCTTGTGACCATTGGCCTGAGAATCCCTCTGGGGCAGCCCCAAATCTGCACCCCTGGCCCCAAACCCGTTCTGGGGGCACTGAATCCGGAGGGTTTGGCACAAAAATTGGCACCAAGGGTGAAGGTGTGGGGCCGAGGATTGGGAATTTGGGGGAGAATGGGGGAGATTTGGGAAGGGCCAGTTAAGGGCTGGGACACGGGGACAGGAATGGGGTCAGGGACTGGGGACTGGGGGAAGGGTCTGGGGAACGGGGACGGGAGGGGAACCTGGGGACATGGACAGGGCCACACGATAAGCAGCAGCCTGATTTTGGAAACCACTATCAGCACCCTTGGCACAGAAAGAGGATCCGGAATCCTCGTCCTTGAGGCTGTTCATGGTCAGCGTCACCGAGCTCTGCCCGTTGTCCCTGGAGATCGTGAACTGGCCCTTGACTGATGGCGCGTAGTAGGTGTTGGCACCATTGTAGTAGATGCCTGCGACGTATTCCAGCCCCTGCCCGGGTCTCTGGCGGATCCAGTACATTCCATAATCCCCAAAACTGAACCCGGACCCTCGGCAGAGGAGGCGCAGGGACCGCCCAGAGGGCTGGAGGTCCCCCCCGCACTCCAGCAGGGTCAGGGCTGCCCGGAGCCCTGCGGGACAAAGGGGACATGGGGATGAGGAACCTGATTGGTGAAGAGTGCCCAAGTTGGAGTGGCACGCTTGAAAAAGTGGTGGGATGCACGTGAGAGGAGGATGATGAACTCCCAGGGTTAGAATTTGGGGCCAAGAGTAAGGATTTGGGTCTAGGTTTGAGCTTTGGCCTCATCCCCATCTCCCCTCTATCCCGCAAGGCTCCGGGCGGCCGTGACCCTGCTGGAGTGCGGTGGGGACATCCAGCCCCCCGGGGGGTCCCTGCGCCACCTCTGCCGAGGGTCCGGATTCGATTTTGGCCGTTTTGGCATGGGCTGGCATCCCTAGAGGCCTGGACAGGGGCTGGAAGCAGTCGCCAGTATCATCAGCAGTGGCAGCGCCTACTACGCGCCATCTGTCAAGGGCCGGTTCACGATCTCCAGGGACAACGGGCAGAGCTCGGTGGCGCTGACCATGAACAACCTCAAGGTCGAGGATTCTGCCACCTATTTCTCTGCCAAATCTTACAATACTGGTAGCGCTTATGCTGGTGCTTATATTGACCATTCCGGTGGTGGCACCACCCCATCAGAGCCCCTATGGTCCCCAATCCCAGACCCTTCCCCCAAACCTCAGCCCTTGACCCTTTGTCCCAAATCTCCCCCATTTGCACCAATGGTCAGCACTGACCCCAAACCCTCCCCTGCTCCTGCCCCAAAACTCAACCATTGGCCCCAAACATTCAAACACGTCCCCCAGTTCAGGCCTTGCTCTCCAAGAGTTCTCATTTCAGACTGTGCCCGATCAGCCAATCAGACTTCAGGGAGCTGGGGGGAGAATTGAGTGAAATGGGGAAAACTGGGGAAACTCCAGGGCTGCGGCAACAGGGGCAGAGTTTGGGGGAATATAGCCAAGATTTGAGGAGAAGGACTGGGATTTTGGGGAAGAATCTGTGGCGATTGGAGACATTTGGTGACCATCAAGGGCATGGGATCTCTGAGAGCATCATCAATAAAAACATAACCAGCGCCCCAATATTTGGGACGTCTGGCGAGAAATAGGATCCGGAATCCTCGTCCTTGAGGTTGCTCATGGTCAGCGTCACTGAGCTCTGCCCGTTCTCCCTGGAGATCGTGAATCGACCCTGCACCGATGGACTGTAGATGGTGTAGCCTCCATTGTAGGTGATGTGGGCGACAAACTCCAGCCCCTGCCCAGGTCTCTGGCGCACCCAGAACACGTCGTGATTGGCCAGAGTGAACCCAGAGCCGATGCAGAGAAACGTCAGGGCCCCCCGGGGGGCTGGAGGTCCCCCCCGCGCTCTAGCAGGGTCACGGCCGCTCGGAGTCCTGCGGGACAAAGGGGAGAGGGTGATGGGGCGATGCAAAAGCCAGGTGCAGGTGTCGAAATTATTAATGGGTCGACTGGGGCTAATTGCAGGGTTTAAGGTACTGTACAATAATGGAAATTTCTGTAGAATATTTGAGCCCAGACAAAGGGAATTTCGGGCAAAACTGGGGAAGGGGATTGGGGAGTGGACGTGACGCTGCTGGAGTGCGGGGGGGACTTCCCGCCCCCCGGGGGGGTCCCTGCGCCTCCGCTGCCGAGAGTTCGGGTTCATTTTCGGCAGCTTTGGGATGGGCTGGATGCGCCAGAGGCCCGGGCAGGGGCTGGAGTGGATCGCAGCGATCTGGAGCAATGGTGCCACCTACTACTCGCTGTCGGTCAAAGGCCAGTTCACGACTTCCAGGGACAACGGGCAGAGCTCGGTGACGCTGACCATGAACAACCTCAAGGACGAGGATTCCGGATCCTATTTCTGTGCCAAGGATGCTGATAGTTATGGAGCTGCTCCTAATGCTGGTTGGGGATGGGGCCATGGTCGGCACTCTCAATATAACCAGCAGCATAAGCGCCACCGGTACCCGGAGATTTCCCGCAGAAACAGGAGCCGGAGGGGCCAGGAGTTGAGATTTGGGGCCAGAGCAGGGCAGGGTTGGGACGCAGGGTCAGGAGTGGGGTCTGGGGTTGGAGGGAATGATCTGGGGCACGGGGACAGGAACAGGGGTAAGGACACCACCACCAACATCAGCATCAGAAGCAGCACAACAACTGTAAGCACCCTTGGCACAGAAATAGGATCCGGAATCCTCGTCCTTGAGGCTGTTCATGGTCAGCGTCACCGAGCTCTGCCCGTTGTCTATGGAGATGCTGAACCGGCCCTTGACCGATGGTGCGTAGCCAATGTTTCCACCGTTGTTGCTGATCCCTGCCACGAATTCCAGTCCCTTCCCAGGTCTTTGACGCATCCAGCCCATGTTGAAATTCCCAAAATCGAACCCGGACCCTCGGCAGAGGAGGCGCAGGGACCCCCCGGGGGGCTGGAGGTCCCCCCCGCGCTCCAGCAGGGTCACGGCCGCCCGGAGCCCTGTGGGACAACGGGGAGATGGGGATGAGGAGCTGGATTGGTTATGGACCCAAAGTGGGCACCGCCATGCCAGAAGAAGTGTGCGGGATCCACCTGGGAGGATTGGCAGGTGCTGCAGGAGGAGGATGGTGAGGTCCAAGGGTCCCAATTTGTGTCCAACATAAGGATCTGCATGGAAGAATCAATATTTGGGTTGATTTTTAGCCCCATCCCCATCTCCCCTCTGTCCCGCAGGGCTCCGGGTGGCCGTGACCCTGCTGGAGTGCGGGGGGCACCTCCAACCCCCCGGGGGGTCCCTGACGTTGCTGTGCTGAGGGTCCGGGTTCTGTTTCTGGGGTCACTCCATGCAATGGATCCGCCAGAGGCCTGGGCTGGGGCTGGAATGGCTCGCGGTGATCCACAGCTCTGGAGGTTACACCCACTACGCCCCGTCGGTCAAGGGCAGGGTCAGGATCTCCAGGGACAACGGGCCGAGCTTCACAACACTGCCCATGCTCGACCTGCAGGACGAGGATTCCGGATCCTATTTCTGTGCCAAAGCCGCTGGGGCTGATGGGGATTACCATCATGCCAATGCTATTCACTCCACCCCTATTGTTGTGGTCCCAAATGTCCCCATTCCCCAAACCCTGCCTCGAAATCCCAGGCCTCGTCCTCCCTCTCTGTGACGGAACTCGTGTCCCCAGCCCCGGGCCCAGCGTTGACCTTTGGGGCAGAGTTTGGGGGAAGATCAACGGCCAAGGGTTGGGATTTGGGGCCGGAGAGGGGAAAAGGAAATGGAGAAATGGTCACGGGCAGGGTCAGGGGCTGGGAGCTGGGGAAGGGTCTGGGGAACGGGGACAAGTGGGGGTGCTGTGTTTGGTGTGGGGCAATCACTGGGAAGGTCCCCATGAGCAACAGCAACAGGAGCACCAGTATTGTAAGATTTCCCGAAGAAATAAACAGCAGAATCCTCGTCCTTGAGGTTGTTCATGGTCAGCGTCACCGAGCTCTGCCCGTTGTCCCTGGAGATCGTGACCCGGCCCTTGACTGATGGCGCATACCAGTTGCTCCCACCATTGTTGGTGATACTTGCGAGCCATTACAGTGCATTCTTTGGTGTCTGTGGATACCAGCCCATCCCAAAACCCCCAAAATAGAAGCCGGACCCTCGGCAGAGGACCCCCCTGGGGGCTGCAGGTCCCCACCGCACTCCAGCAGGGCCACAGTCGCCCGGAGCCCTGCGGGACAAAGGGAAGATGGGGATGAGAAACCTGATTGGTTGTGGGGTCAAAGCGGGTGTGGTCTGCTGGAAAATGGGATGTGACTCACCTGGGATGAGGATGATGAACTCCAAGGGTCCCAGTTTGGGGCCAAGGTTCAGGATTTTGGTCAAGGGTTGAGCTTTGTCCTCATCCCCATCTCCCCTTTGTCCCGCAGGGCTCTGGGCGGCTGTGACCCTGCTGGAGTGCGGGGGGCACCTCCAGCCCCCCGGGGGGTCCCTGACGTTGCTGTGCCCCGCATCTGGGTTCAATTTTTGGAGTTTTGGAATGTTCTGGATCCATCAGAGACCCGGGCAGGGGCTGCAATTCGTGGCATACATCAACAGTGGTGGCACCACCATCTACTCACAGTCGGTCAAGGGCCGGTTCAGGATCTGCAGGGACAACGGGCAGAGCTCGGTGACCCTGACCATGAACAACCTCAAGGTCGAGGATTCTGGATCCTATCTCTGTGCCAAACGCTCCAGTGATTACGCTGGCAATGGTAATGCTGCTGGTTTTGGCATCAATCCTGGTAGTGACCATGGTGGTCTCCAAATTTCCCCAATCCTGGCGATCCTACCCCCAAATCCCAGCCCTTCTCCTCAAAACTTCACTATTTCCCCCCAAACTCCACCCCTGCTGACCCAAGTCTGGACTTTTCCCCAATTTTGCCCATTTCCCCCAAATCTCGCCCTTCCCCTCACCCTTGGGCTGTTTGCCCAGAACCATCCCCCAAATCTCAGCCATTCACCCCAGATTTCTGCTCCCTTCCATTGTGACCACGGGCCTGAAAATCCCTCTGAGGCAGCCCCAAATCTGTACCCCTGTCCCCAAACCCGCACTGGGGGTACCGAATCCGGAGGGTTTGGCACAAAAATTTCTTAGAGTCAAGATGTGGGTCCGAGAGTAATGAATTTGGGGGAAAATAGGGAAGGTTTGGGGAATAAGCAGTTCAGAGCTGGGACACGGGAACAGGAATGGGGTCAGGGGTTGGGGATTGGGGGAAGGGTCTGGGGAACAGGGGCAGGGGGGGACACAGGGACGGAGATGGGATCAAATGATAAGCAGCAGCCTGATTTTGGTAACCACTATCAGCACCCTTGGCACAGAAATAGGTGGCGAAATCCTCGTCCTTGAGGTTGTTCATGGTCAGCGTCACCGAGCTCTGCCCGTTGTCCCTGGAGATCCTGAACCGGCCCTTGACCGATGGCGCGTACTCAGTGTAACCTCCAGGGTCACTAATACTTGCGACGTACCCCAGGACTTGTCCGGGCCTCTGCCGATACCAGCCCATCCCAAAACTGCTGAAACTGAACCCGGGAACTCGGCAGAGGAGGCGCAGGGACCCCCCGGGGGCCTGGAGGTCCCCCCTGCACTCCAGCAGGGTCACAGCCGCCCAGAGCCCTGCGGGACAAAGGGGAGATGGGGATGGGAAACCTGAATGGAGAAGAAGCTTTAAAATGAGCGTGGCCAGCTGGAAAAAGGGGTGGGACCCACCTTGGAGGAGGATGATGAACTCCCAGGGTCCCAGTTTGGGGCCAGAAGTCTGGATTGGGGTCAAGGGTTGAGCTTTGGCCCCATCCCCATCTCCCCTTTGTCCCGCAGGGCTCCGGGCGGCCGTGACCCTGCTGGAGTGCGGGGGGGACCTCCAGACCCCCCGGGGGTCCCTGCACCTCCTCTGTCGAGGGTCCGGGTTCGATTTTCGCCAATTTGGGGTGGGCTGGATCCGCCAGAGACCCAGGCAGTGGCTGGAGTGGCTCGCGGGGATCACCAACACTGGTGAAAACATCGGCTATGCGCCATTGGTCAAGGGTCGGTTCAGGATCTCCAGGGACAAGGGGCAGAGCTCGGTGACGCTGACCATGAACAACCTCAAGGACGTGGATTCTGGATCCTATTTCTGTGCAAGGGATTTTTGCGCTGGTTTTTGGGCTGTTGCTAATTATAGTGACAATGCTGTTAATAGCGTCAAACTTCTAGATTTCCCCCAATTTTCCCCATCTCTCCCCAGTCTGGCCCTTCCCCTCCGTCCCAGTGCGGAACGGGGATCGCTCCAGGACCCTTTGCACACAAAGCTTTTTGTGCAGCCAGCGCTCTGCCGCAGTGCCCCGAGGCTGAGCTGCCCTCTGCCAAACACAGATGTTCACCATGACCAAAACCAGGAACTTTCTCTTTCCTTTCCTGCCCCGGCCGGGCCCTGGCAGCTGCCGGGGAGGAATTGGGGGGAGGCTGCGGAGCCCAAAAATCGCGGCGTCTTCACCTCCCTCCCTCCCTCCCTTTGTCCCACCTGGGGCTTCACTTCTCCCTCAGCGGCCTCGGTGTCTGGTCCTGCTCCTTGGGGCTGGGCTGGAATCCTCTCTGGGAGCTCTGAAGAAAAAACCCTTTTTTTTTTTCCCAAAACCACATGAAAGTTAGAGGAGATGAAATTGTTGAAATTGACCTCGAGCCGAGGGCTCCATGCTGAGAGAAGCAGATGGGCGCAAGGGTGGAGTCACCTGGAACGTTCCATCGGTCAAGGGCAGGGTCAGAATGGGCAAGGAGAGCTCAGGAGCCAAAATGGCCCCAAATGGGCCCCGAGCTGGGCTGTGGGGCCAGGAGCTGAGAATGTGGGGCAGAGCCATTGCAGGGTTGGGGCAAGGGGACAGGAATGGGGACAGGGGTTGGGGATTGGGGAAGGGTCTGGGGAACGGGGACAGGGGGGGAAAGGGTGAAGGGGACGGGGTTAAAAGCATCAGCACGAGCAACATTTCCAGTAACAGTGGTTTTGGCCCAGAAATGGATGGCCGAATCGTCGTCCTTGAGGTTGTTCATGGTCAGCGTCACCGAGCTCTGCCCGTTGTCCCTGGAGATCGTGAACCGGCCCTTGACCGATGGCGCGTCGAAGGTGCTGCCACCACTGTTGATGCTTCCAACCCACTCCAGCCCCTGCCCAGGTCTCTGTCGAACCCAATCCATTTCGAAACTGCCAAAACTGAACCCGGACCCTCGGCAGAAGAGGCGCAGGAACCCCCTGGGGGGCTGGAGGTCCACCCCGCACTCCAGCAGGGTCACAGCCACCTGGAGCCCTGCGGGACAAAGGGGAGATGGGGGTGAGGACAAAGCTTAACCCTTGACCCAAACCCTGACTCTGGGCCCGAAACTGGGACCTTTGGACCACGCCATCCTAGTTGTCCTGCTCCGGCTGCCCCTCTAAGCTGGGTCCCACCCCATTTTCCAGTTTGACACACCCACTTTGAGGCCCTCAGCGAATCGGGTTCCTCATCCCCATCTCCCCTTTTTCCCGCAGAGCTCCGGGCAGCCGTGACCCTGGTGGAGTGTGGGGGGGACCTCCAGCCCCCCGGGGGGTCCCTGCGCCTCTTCTGCCAAGGGTCCGGGTTCAGTTTTGGCAGTTTTAGGATGGGCTGGCATCGCCAGAGACCCGGGCATGGGCTGGAAGCAGTCGCCAGTATCAGCAGCAGTGGCAGCGTCTACTGTGCAGATTCGGTCAAGGGCCGGTTCAGCATCTCCAGGGACAACGGGCAGAGCTCGGTGACGCTGACCATGAACAACCTCAAGGACGAGGATCCCGCCGTTTATTTCTGTGCCAAATCTTACAGCATTGGTAGCGCTGCTGCTGCTGCTGCTTATACTGACCGTGTCGATAGTGGCATCGCCGTTTCTGAGCCCCTCATGTTCCCAAATCTCAGACCCTTCCTCCAAATCTCAGCCCTTGACCCCATTCTTGGCCCTTTGTCTCAGATCTCCCCCATTTCCAACATCACTAACCACGAAACGGCAACCCGCGAAGTGCTTCTGCCCCAAACCCAACTAAGATGGCACCAAAAATCGCCCGAATCTGCCCCAAATCCCCACTTGTGCTCCCTGCAGCAGCAGCCGCTGACACAAATCCTCAACCTTTGTCTCAAAATCGAGACCCTGGGCCTCAAACCCCGACCTTCAGAGCAAAGTTTTGGGGAACAAAGAGGAGATTTGGGGCCAGGAGTTGTGGTTTGGGGTCAGCGGGTGAGAACTGGGGCCGAGGCAGAGCAAGGTTGGGATCAATGGTCAAGGGCTGGGTGTGGGCTGGGGGTCTGGGGGAAGGGTCTGGGGAACGGGCACGGGGGGGACACAGGGATGGGGGTGGGGACACCATGGGCATCGTCACTACAAGCAGCATGTTCAGGGTAATTATTAGCAGCACACTTAGCGCAGAAATAAATGGCGGAATCCTCGTCCTTGAGGTTGTTCATGGTCAGCGTCACCGAGCTCTGCCCGTTGTCCCTGGAGATCGTGAACTGACCCTTGAACGATGGCGCGTAGTAGGTGTTGGCACTGTTGAAGTAGATGCCTGCTACGTATTGCAAAGCCTGCCCGGGTATCTGGCGGATCCAGTACATTCCATAATCCCCGAAACTGAACCCAGACCCTCGGCAGAGGAGGCGCAGGGAGCCCCCAGGGGGCTGGAGGTTCCCTCCGCACTCCAGAAGGGTCACGGCCGCCCGGAGCCCTGCGGGACAAAGGGGAGATGGGGATGAGAAACCTGATTTGTTGAATGTCTTATACTGCATGTGGCCAGCTGGGAAAAGGGACAGGACCCACTTGGGGGGAGGATGATGAACTTCAAGAGTCCCAATTTGGGGCCAAGAGTCAGGATTTGGGTCAAGGGTTGAGCTTTGGCCTCATCCCCATCTCCCGTTTGTCCCGCAGGGCTCCGGGCAGCCGTGACCCTGCTGGAGTGTGGGGGGGACCTCCAGCCCCCCGGGGGGTCCCTGCGCCTCCTCTGCCACGGGTCCGGGATGAGTTTCGGCAGTTTCAACATGGGCTGGATGTGCCAAAGACCTGGGCAGGGGCTGGAATTCGTTGCAGGGATCAGCAACAACGGTGCCAGAATTTGCTACGCGCCATTGGTCAAGGGTCGGTTCAGGATCTCCAGGGACAAGGGGCAGAGCTCGGTGACGCTGACCATGAACAACCTCAAGGACGACAATTCCGGATCCTATTTCTGCGCCAAGGGTGCTTACAGTTGTTGTGCTGCTTCTGATGCTGATGTTGGTGATGGTGTGCTTACACCTGTTCCTGTCCCCGTGCCCCAGATCATTCCCTCCAACCCCAGACTCCACTTCTGACCCTTTTTCCCAACCCTGCCCCGTTCTGGACCCAAATCTCAGCTCCTGGCCCCAAATCTCAACTGCTGGCTCTCTGGATCCTGTTTCTGCGGGAAATCTCCTAGTACCGGTGGCGCTTATGCTGCTGGTTATATTGAGAGTGCCGACCATGGCCCCATCCCCAACCCGCATTAGGAGCAGCACCGTAACCATCAGCATCCTTGGCACAGAAATAGGATCTGGAATCCTCGTCCTTGAGGTTGTTCATGGTCAGCGTCACTGAGCTCTGCCCGTTGTCCTTGAAGATCCTGATCCGACCCTTGAACGATGGCGCGTAGTAGGTGGCACCATTGCTCCAGATCGCTGAGATCCAGTCCAGCCCCTGCCCGGGTCTCTGGCGCATCCAGCCCATCCCAAAACTGCCGAAACTGAACCCGGACCCTCGGCAGAGGAGACTGGAGGTGTCCCCGGCCTCCAGCAGCGTCTCGGCCACTCCCCGAACCCCAACCCTTCCCCAGTTTTGCCCCAAATTCCCTTTGTCTGGACTCAAATATTCTACAGAGGTTTCCATTATTGTACAGAACCTTAAACCCTGCAATTAGCCCCAATCCACCCATTATTAATTTGACAGATCCACCTGGCTTTTGCATCACCCCATCCCCATCTCCCCTTTGTCCCGCAGGGCTCCGGGCGGCCATGACCCTGCTGGAGTGCGGGGGGGAACTCCAGCCCCCCGGGGGTCCCTGACATTGCTCTGCATTGGCTGTGGGTTCACTCTGGCCAATCACGACATGTTCTGGATCCGCCAGAGACCCGGACAGGGGCTGCAGTTGGTCGCCCACATCACCTACAATGGAGGCTACACCATCTACAGTCCGTCGGTGCAAGGCCGGTTCACGATCTCCAGGGACAAAGGGTAGAGCTCGGTGACGCTGACCATGAACAACCTCAAGGACCAGGATTCCGGATCCTATTTCAGTGCCAGACATCATAAATATTGGGGCATTGATTACGTTTTTATTGATGACATCGGCAGAGATCCCACACTCATTATGGGAAACAAATATCTCCAGACCCCAGCGATCCTTCCCCCAAATTCCAGCCCTTCACAAATCTTGATCATTTCCCCCCAAACTCTGCCCCTGCTGCCCCTACTCTAGAATTTCCCCCAATTTTGCCCATTTCACCCCAATCTCCCTCAGCTCCCGGGCCCTGATTGGAGGAGGCCTGAACTGGAGGCCAGGGGTGAAGGTTTGGGGCCAATGGTTGAGTTTTAGGGCAGGAGCAGGGGAGGGTCTGGGGTCAGTGCTGACCATTGGGGCAAATAAGGGAGATTTGGGATAAACGGCCAAGGGCTGAGGTTTGGGAGAAAGGTCTGGGATTGGGGACAGGGGGGGCTCAGACAGGGGTGGTGCCACCACTGGCACGGTCAATATAAGCAGCATCAGCACCACCACCAGCACCACTGTCTTTGGCACAGAAACAGGTGGCGGAATCCTCGTCCTTGAGGTTGTTCATCGTCAGCGTCACCGAGCTCTGCCTGTTGTCCCTGGAGATCCTGAACCGGCCCTTGACTGACGGCGCGTGGTAGGTGCTGGAACCAGAAGGGCTGCTGATCCCCGCGAGCCACTCCAGCCCCTGCCCGGGTCTCTGGCGGATCCATTGCATGGGAAAACTGCTGAAACTGAACCCGGACCCTCGGCAGAGGAGGCGCAGGGACTCCCCGGGGGGCTCGATGTCCCCACCGCACTCCAGCAGGGTCACCACGGCCCAGAGCCCTGCAGGACAAAGGGGAGAAGTGTGCAGAGCTTTGTGGACAGCTGGTTGGCTGTTTAAGGCGACGTCGACATAATGCCGCTGGTTAAGCTTGAAGGGGACAAGTACAGGAGCCAGAAGCCAGTGTCCAATGACAGGCAAGGACATTGTGCCCTTGGTGGTGCAGCAGGATAGGGGAGAGCATCTTTGGCAGGAATACAAAGTGAAGTTTCAATAAAATATCCACAAGAATGCAGAAGGAGGCGCAGTTGGCTTATGAGTAACCGATCAATGGTGAGCTCGCCTTTGCAATATGCATGAGCCTCATTAACACCGATATAAAGATCTGTGCCTATTAATAAAGTTCGAGATTTGCTGATCACTCATATCGCGTGCTGCATTTCTCCTGCCCATCCCAAAAGAGATGGGGACGGCGAAAGCTCAACCCTTGACCCCAAAATCCCAGCTATTGGCCCCAGGTTGTAACAATTTGTCCTTCTCCTCCTGCTCCTGGTCACCCTCCCAGGTGGGTCTCATCCCTTTTTCCACCTTGGCACACCCACTGCAGGCCCACAGCCAATCAGGTTTCTCGTCCCCATCTCCCCTTTCTCCCGCAGGGCTCCGGGCGGCCGTGACCCTGCTGGAGTGCAGGGGGGACCTGCAGCCCCCCGGGGGTTCCCTGTGCCTCCTCTGCCGAGAGTCCGGGTTCAGTTTTGGGAGTTACCCCATGTACTGGGTCCGCCAGAGACCCGGGCAGGGGCTGGAATGGCTCGAAAGCATCTACAGCAATGGTGGCACCACCTACTACACGCCATCGGTCAATGGCAGCTTCACGATCTCCAGGGACAACGGGCAGAGCTCGGCGACGCTGACCATGAACAACCTCAAGGATGAGGATTCCGGGTCCTATTTCTGGTCCAAGGGTGCTGATGCTTATTGCTGGAATGCTGCTGCTTATGGTGAAGGCCCAAGTGGTTGACCCGTGCCCCCGTCTCAGTGTCCCCTCCTGTCCCCAAACCCCCAACATTTCCCCCAATCCTCAGCCCTGGGCCCATCCCCGCCCAGGGGTCTCTGTCCCAATCCCCACCCAGACGGCGCTGTGGGGACCCCTCTGGAGCCGTTCGGTTTCCCACCATCGCTCTCCTCACCGGGCTGTGGCCATGGGGACGTGCCGGCGGCTCACGGCCCTGGCAGCACACACAGAACTCAATGGCACAGCTCACCGTGAGAGGTTTGTGGCCAATCACACAAAGCAAAGGCAGATTGACACGGTGGGGCTGGATCTGGGACATCCTCGTCAGTTTTGGGGAATTTGGTTGGGACGTGGAGCCCAGAGCTGAGGTATGGGGCCAAGAGCTGAGATTGGGGCAGAACCAGTTCAGAGCTGGGACACGGGGATGGGAATGGGGTCAGGGGCTGGGGATTGGGGGAAGGGTCTGGGGAATGGGGACAGGTGGGGACACAGGGACGGGGATGGGGAAAATACCACAGACGTCATTAGCAGCAGCATTGTTATAATAACCCCTGGCACAGAAAAAGGATCCGGAATCCTCGTCCTTGAGGTTGTTCATGGTCAGCGTGACCGAGCTCTGCCCGTTGTCCCTGGAGATCGTGAACCGACCCTTGACCAATGGCGCGTACGCGGTGTAGGAATCATCGCTGTAGATGCCTGCGAGCAATTCCAAACCCTGCCCGGGTCTCTGACGGACCCAGCTCATGGACTGACCCACGAAATTGAACCCAGACCCTCCGCACAACAACATCCGGGTCTCCCCGGGGGGCTGGAGGTCCCCCCCACACTTCAGCAGGGTCTCGGCCGCCCGGAGCCCTGCGGGACAAAGGGGAGATGGGGATGAGGCCAAAGCTCAACATTGACCCAAATCCTGACCTTTGGCCCCAAACTGGGACCCTTTGTCATTCTCCTCCAGATCCTGGTAACCCTCCAGAATGGATCCAATTCTTTTTTCCAACTGGCCTGAATGACTTGGGGACTCTCGACCAATCAGGTTTCCCATCCCCATCTCCCCTTTGTCCCGCAGGGCTCCGGGCGGCCGTGACCATGCTGGAGTGCGGGGGAAACCTCCAGCTTCCCGGGGGGTCCCTGACGTTGCTGTGCCGAGGGGCCGGGTTCAGTTTCGGGAGTTACCCCATGATCTGGATCCGTCAGAGACGCGGGCAGGGGCTGGAGTGGCTCGCGGGGATCAGGAACGATGGTGCTTACACCTACTATGCGCCATCGTTCAAGGGCCGGTTCAGGATCTCCAGGGACAACGGGCAGAGCTCGGTGACGCTGACCATGAACAACCTCAAGGACGAGGATTCCGTATCGTATTTCTGTGCCAAATCTGCTGCTGAGGGCAATTGGGGCGATGCTGCTGCTTATGCTGAAGACACCAGTTGTGGATCCACCCTCGTCTCCATGTCTCCCCCTGTCCCCAATCCCAGACCCTTCGCCCAAACCTCACCCTTTGACCCAGCCCTTGACCCTTTGTCCCAAAGCTCCCCCATTTGCCCCAATGGTCAGCACTGACCCCAAACCCTCCCCTGCTCCTGCCCCAAAACTCAACCATTGCCCCCAAACATTTTCCCGGGGGCTCCAGTTCAGGCCTCCCCCAATCAGGGCCCGGGAACTGGGGGAGATT